GGTGTTCTGTTGTTGGATGTAATAATGAACATAGCAGTCGTCGTTTACTCCCAACACTCCCGATCATTTGTGATCCAGCTTCACCTACAGAAGAAGTGAATTTAAAGTTTTTTTTAATGAATCTTTGCAAATCGCCTTTCCTAATAATGTGCTAATACGCAAGTTTCATGATAAATAAAACAGTCTCTCTGAGAGCAGCTCGGAAGAGAGGGGCGGGGTCAGCAGAGCTCATTAACATTTAAAGGAAAATGCTACAAAACGGCTTGCTCTGAAAAGAGCTGTTTTTGACAGGGTAAAATATGTGTTTTTTACACTACCATTGAGAAATTTTAACCAAACTATGTTACAGACTTTTCATTAAGACCCTAAAGAACTTTAAAGAAAGATCAACTTGTGGAAAATGGGCATCTGATGACCCTTTTAAAGGTTTTTAATGAGTTCAAAAAAGTATTTATTATAAACGGAGTACAAACCAACCGCTCACCCTTCGACACATTACTGTCACAGACACGTGACCAAAATGAATAGAGGAGAGAAACGTTCAGGGGCAGAAAAGAACAGAAAAGACTAAGGGGAAAAGAAAAGCAATGCATTAAAATGAGGACAGCAATGTCTAAGTGAACTAACAGAAATAGGTAAGCTTACCCTATTATTATTATTTTTTCATTGTAAATCATGAAGAGGGCAAAGTGTTTAACATTATATCCCTTCATTTCTGTGTATCTCTATTACTCAAAAAATTAAAAAAGTCACGATATGCTTGTGAATGGGTTAGGGTTAGGGTTGGATTTACATTTGATTGGAAATGAGAAGATTGTTAACAATATAAACTAGCCACGTTTTGCAGAACATTGCTGTTTTCAGAACTCTTGCTACTTTATACTTCAGTACAAAACAATGCTAAACTTTAACAAAAAAATGATTTTTAAATGTTATGTTAGGGGTTTTATAATGTCTTAAAATACATGCAAAACAGGCAAAATAAAGTCCAACACTTCACTTGCTCCTTTGAGTGTGCGAGCACCCCACAATCTGATTGGTCTGCACTCCTTCATTAATCCTATAGTGCACCTGTGAATCGGTACCATTTACCTACAGATGGAGTACAAACTCAAATAAACACAAATAAATGTTAAATAAAAAATATATTTAAATAAAGAAATATATTTTAAGGTAAATTAAATACAATACTTAAATTCAATAAAATAAGCACAATAAACAAATATAAGGCTGCTACAATAAATCTAAAAGCAAAACGTGAAAAGTGCTATATTATGGAGTAGAAATGGTAAATGAGACAATGAATGTTCCTCTGCTGCCATCTAGTTGTCATAGTGGGAATATCATGACATTAATTTTAATAGTATTTGTTTTTCTACCAGGTGTCAGAAATGTTCCACTTAAGCATGGCACATTTTCCATTAATTGTCTCTATAAGTAAAAATGAAAAAAATACAAATGTTCTTTAAAGCGTATTTTACATACAGTGTTCTCATTTAATATAAAAATGTACAAAAATATGAATAACTTTGAGGTGAATGAATAATGAATTGCTTGCAGGGAGTTTTCTGCGGGGGTTAGGGGCTAGAATACAGGGGGGCGCCAGCACTGATCTTGCATACCCCTCAGCAAATGTGCAGTTGTGACCCTGGTTCTGGTTTATAACATCAGATCCAGAAGAGCCGAACAGGGTGTTTGATTGCTGATTTTTACAGTCTTTCTGTATTCCTCTTCCTAAAATACTTGATCTGAACTTTGTTTGTTAGTTTGAATCTTAATATAAGAAATGGCTAAAAACACATCTCTTACATCTTTATTTGACCCTCTAACTCTAGCACTCTCTATTCTAATTCTATTTGATCTATTTCTTTTCTTTTTTTTTAATTGATTTTACATTAAAAAAAACACATGACCCTCTAACACTTGCACTCTCTATTCGTTTTCTAACTGCTTGTTTTCTTTAAAAAGGCCTTTAACACTAGCTTTCTCTTTTCTTTTTTTCTGTTCTATCTACTTATTTTCTTTTTATTATATGTTTATGTTTTATATATATATATGTGTGTGTGTGTGACCCTGGACCACAAAACCAGTCTTAAGTCGCTGGAGTATATTTGTAGTATATATATATATATATATGTACTGCATTAGGCTAACTGAGACTTATCACAGCACTTGCATATTATTGCTCTTTTGTTGGTTTTGATGTCTTGATGTGCTGTGCAATATATCGAAATATCGCAAATGTACATATCGGAATATGCATATTGCTACAGCTTGCAATATTTGGGGCCATGAACAAAAGACAAAGAGAAAATCACTCACTGCTCTTACCTAAATAACTTTTGTAGCTTAAATAAGAATCAGTGCATATTGAATTCAAAGAGTAAATACTAAGCAGTGTTTTATTTTTCCTTTTTATTATTCAGTTCCTAAACTCATGTTAAAATGACATTTTTATGTAATGCTCGAGTAAAACACTACCGTTCACTTTCAGGAGTTGTTGTAGGGGTGCTTTCTTATTAGAATCAGAATCAGAATGAGCTTTATTCACCACTTAAGTGTGCGCAAACACAAGGAATTTGTTGCAGTTTTACAGGAACTCTTGGTACATGCATACATACAAATAACCATATATATATGACACAAGATAGTTATAGAAGTTCACAGAACTGACTCCGCAACAGCTGAGTAAAACTGTTTCATCTGAGCATGTGGCACTTTAAGCATTATCGTATCGCATATCGAATATCGCATTATTTAATGAGTTATATCGCATTTTTCTTCAATATCGCACAGCCCTAAATTGTCTTCTATTGTCTTCATTTGTAAGTCGCTGTGGGTAAAAGTGTCTGCTAAATGTAAATTTGTTAGATGTTCTATTCTATTCTATAATAAACATTTGATATGATTACAGCAGTGTGTCTTGTTCCTGCCACAGATATTCAGCATCGATCAATATGTTTGTATTTATTGATTGTGTTTATATAAATAAATATATATATATATATATATATATATATATATATACGTTTTCAACTGTGGAATAACTTAGTCAGGGGTGTTATGCCATTTTCTATTAAAGCATTTGTTGATTTTAAATAATGCCTTTCCTTACGTAAATTAACTAAGGTTTTACTACAAATTAAACTAAAAAAAAACACGGTTACTATAGTTAAACCATGGTAACCACAAATTAACCATGGTTTTGCTGCACTAACCATATAGTTTCACAATGGTATTTGTAGCAAAACTGGGGTTATACAAATGGTAATCAATACGCCAAAAAAAAAAAAAACATGGTTACCACACTTTTACTACAATGAAACCATGGTTAATTGTCATAAGGGTTGTGAAAATTTGATGAATTACTATTGAATTATGGATACACATGGGCATGTCTTATAATCTTGCCTCAGATTTTTTTTTATGTGTTTGCAGCAGTTCTTTCCTCTTTATTCCGTTATCTGACAAAAAATAAATAAAAAAGTCGCTCAGTATTTTTGTTAATGTCGTGCTGATACCTGGCGGCGAACATGAAGAAAGCAAACGTTGGTGAGAGTGGAGGAGAAACTTACCTGTTCACAAATGGAAACCAAAACCTTTAAACAGGCTTTACGTGTCTTTTGTTTCAAATCAATACACAATACATTTCAGGTACTTTTCTGGCTCTGCAGAAGGCGTTTATCAAGTCCTTGCGTTGTATTTTCTAATCCAGTAGGTGGCGGAAACGTATCTTCGACTGTTTTGTGTCTCGCAATGAAACGTAGAAGAAGAAGATGCTGGAGGAGCTGAAGATGAAGTAGGTTTCATTTTGATGTTTTTTTTTAAAGTGGTGTCAGATTGCAGTGTAAACAAAGATACTGTCAGCGAAATGTTTATATTATTTATATAATTCTAAAAAGTCTTATTTTATTGTTCTATATGGAAATCGTGGAACATTTATTTTAATGTTTCATACTCCCAAACGGTTATTTCTTAGTTATATGTAGGCGGCATACTAAATTAATAACAATAACAGTAGGCTATATTTGAGTCGAAAAGTGATGGAAATACATAATATTTCTAGTGATTCCAAAAGTCTTATAGTGAGAGCTCAAATATAGATGATTTTCAAATAATTATCAAAAGAGATTTTGTTGAGGTAATTTGTTTTCTGCGTTTCGCGCTCTTTGTTTGAAAACGGCGGTAACGGTCGATCAGTTGAACGCAACACGCAACGGTCAGTATTATTAT